TTCAAAGGCGTCCATTCTTTGGCGCTCAGCCTTCCTTACAGCCTTCCTCATCCATCAAAAGCCCAACTCTCCAGTCTTGCAAGAAACTCAGTTTCAAGTCCACCCAGTGGAGCTTCTCCCTCTCAGCTGAAAAGCTCTCTCCTTCTCACCAGCCGCCCTCAGGCAGGAAGGACAGTGGCCCTGGAAAAGGAGCTAAGGAAGAGATGATGCTGTGACTGGACCAGGTGCCCCCTGTTTCTTTCAGTGCTTGTTAAATGCTGGCCACTATCCCATACGATGCTTGAATGTTTTAGAGGTGCACCTTTCCTCGGCTACCAGTTTCAACTGGATAAAATAAAAAATGAGGATGGAGAAGAGGCGGACACTACCACTGAACCCTCAGTCAGCTTTCTTCATGCTGTCTGGAAGATGTGCTGGACGCCAGTTTCCAGAAAAGCCGTTAGCATGGCCAGAAGGCATTCGACTGGAGAATCATGGTTTGCTTGTCCCTTTGGTCACATCCATGTCCACGCAAAGCTTCCTCTGAGCCCCCCTTTCTGATCATCAGTTTCTGCTACTTTGTAGGGACTTTAATAGCCCCCCGCAATTAAAAAAACACACTGGCCGCTGAGCATTCCTTAAATTCTCACAACAGGTCTGCTAAAGAGTCGAATTATCGGGGGTCATGAAGCTGTACCCCATTCTAGACCATACATGGCAGCCCTGAAGTCAGAAGGTTCTTTCATGTGTGGAGGGTTTCTAGTGGCTCCCCAGTGGGTAATGACCGCAGCGCACTGCATGGAGTGAGTAAACCCCATTTCTTGCTTAACGTGAGCAGCGCGGGATGCGGTGGCCCGAACAGGGCCCAGATGGGCGGTCGAAAGAAGTGAAAAGCAGCAGGTTGTCCACAGAGCGGAGGCAGGAAGAACTGTCACATTCCAGAAGTAGCCAAGGGAGAGAAATCATGGGATTTGTAGTTAGGATTTGGGATTAAGCAGGGAGTTGGGCTAAATGACCTCTCGGGGTTCCTTCCATCTCAGGCATTTGAGGAAGGAAGGAAGGAAGGAAGGAGAGAAAGAGAGGGAGGGAGGGAGGAAGGAAGGAAGGAAGGAAGGAAGGAAGGAAGGAAGGAAGGAAG